ATAATGCGGATTAGATATCGTTCAATGTGTCCTTAATTTTTCAGGTTTGTATTCGGCGCAATTCGTCAATTAATGGGAGGCCATATCAGATTGATCATCTCAGGGGGAGCGCCATTGGCTCCAGAAACTCACGAACAAATCAACAACTGTCTTTGCGCCACAATTATTCAGGGGTACGGCTTAACTGAGACGACTTCAAGCGCTTGTGTACAGGACTGTGAGTATTCCCATGCTAGATTATGCGTCTTGTTTAGGGGTCCCGATCTGAACTGAATTCGTTTTGTTAATCATATTTTTTCTTCAGTCTATGATAAATCGTTCGGCCGAGTTGGAGGTCCCACCACAATATGCGAAATTAAAATAACGAACTGGGAGGAAGGTGGTTACAGAGTAACAGACAAGCCATACCCTAGAGGAGAGATTTTGGTTGGAGGTGATAATGTTAGCGCAGGGTAAGTGTGTTTTTTTCTTAATTTGTGGTCAATGTGGAATTTTTCAAATAATTCCCATACTGTGATTTGATTGAAATGCAGTTTTTACCAGAACCATGGCCACAATAACACTCAAGCTCCCTGTCGTTTCGTAAGTTTTACGCCTCTTAAAGCTGTTCCCAAATAAAATTTCAAATAATTTGTTTGTTGCGTTGAGCAATGTTACAACGTTAATAATGGTCTTTCAATGTAAACCTGTTTTCAGCTACTACAAATTGCCAGGAAAAACTGCTGAAGAATTCCTGGAAGCAGATGGTAAAAGATGGTTCAAGACTGGAGATATTGGCGAAGTGCATGATGATGGCGTAGTCACTATTATTGGTAGGAACAAATGAAATATAAATTAGCTTAATTTTCTTGCAAACTTTTTATTCGTTTAGATCGGAAAAAGGACTTGGTAAAACTGCAAGCTGGCGAATACGTGTCACTTGGAAAAGTTGAGACGCAACTGAAAACATGCCCGCTGGTGGATAACATCTGTGTTTATGGGGAATCCTCAAAGCAGTACTGTGTGGCTTTAGTCGTGCCCAACCAATCGAACCTGATGGAACTGGCAACCAAAATAGGCATGGGCGACAAGAACTTTGAAGAACTGTGCGATTTGCCCGAGATGGAAAAGGCTGTGGCTAATGAATTGGCTGAACATGCAAAGAGAGGTCAGTACCATTATCATGTTAGAGCAGACGGTCATTCTGACCTATCACTCGTTTCCTCATTGTTTGGACATATATTTTTGGTTTCCTTGCAGCAAAATTGCAAAAGTTTGAGATTCCCCATGCCGTTAAACTAGTCGCGGAAGTTTGGTCTCCAGATATGGGTCTCGTTACAGCCGCTTTCAAACTGAAGAGAAAAGATATCCAGGACCGTTATCAGTGCGACCTTCGAAGAATGTACGCATCTTGAGAACCGAAAAACTGGTTCCAATAGGTAACGTAAGTTGTTCCCAAGAGTCTAAAGTGGAACTACTTGCCAAACTTTTGAGATATCTGTAACCTGGCTCCTAACCACAATACTGTAGTGTAAAAACAAAAAATCTCGAGGATAATTTGCAGGTTTCGTTTTAATACATCACTCCTTTTAGTTCAAGGTGGGAATAAATGCGTTTTGCTTCACCTTGTTAATTTGTATGAATTTAATGCGCACTAGAGTCTTGCAAACACTGTTGCAGACTGAATGAAACCGTATTATTTCATCTTCAATTCAAAATAGGGACTTATTTTTCACTGTACTCATAGGTTTATCTGGTTCGCAAAATATATGTGGCAACTTTTCCGGTGCAATCGGTTAGCACAAGCAACATTTAGCAAGTCTAGCGTAATTTATAGCAATAGATTACCGGCAGCAGTTGAGCAAATGGAAATCATTTCTACTAGTAAGTCGTCATGTTTAGATTTTAATTATGTTTGTTATCCTTTTTTTTAATGCATAGGAGTTTATTATTAAAATTCTCATTCCCAAATTGGCATTTTCCGTCTATGTACGCGCGTATTAAAATTGTAGATTAGCAGCTATGTTTGCTTTTATCAAATTACATTTTATATCAAAATTAATTCCTGGGTTTCAGTCATTTATTTATCAATTAAAATACGTGTCGGTGTATTTTTGCACCATCATCAGTTTTTCTAAAATAACAGATAGTTAAAAAAAAATTCATTAATTTCAAAAACAATCACAGTTCAACAGCCTCATGATATCACACACTAAAATACATCACAATTGCAACAGTTTAAAACATTCTAAAATTAATTAGGACTAACAGGTGATTAGTCAGGACAATCAAATTTGGGAAGAGACTAGAATTCTTTGTTCAGATACTTAAATATTTTTACTTACATGTGTAGCGTTGTTGCTGCTTTAAGCCTTGGCATACATTTGGAGTATTAATTTTGTCCATTTTGGACACAAAGCGAATAAAATATTGTTTATATTGATTTCTTTTACTTTGAGCTATTTTTCTTTGAATTCTGAGAATATGGTTTGCAAAATTCTTCAATATACCGGGTGTTAGTTAATATTCTATGTTTATTTCATTTAATTAATGTATGATATACTGAGCTAAGATTGTCGG